ATCAGACCATTGCTCAAAAAGCCCAACCTTGACTCAACTGTGTTAGGAAATTTTCGCCCGATATCTCTTCTCCCTTTTCTTTCTAAAGTTATGGAGAAGCTCGTGTCTGCCCAGCTCCAAGCCCACTTAGATTGGCTAGAAATGGTCGACAAATTTCAATCCGGATTCAGATCTAAACATAGCACTGAATCCACGTTAATCAAAGTGCATAATGATATCGCACTGGCTTTGGATGCGGGACACCCTGTCGTTCTAGCTCTCCTCCACCTATCAGCCGCCTTTGACACGGTAGACCACTCTATTTTACTTTTGAAGTTAAAGCATGTCTTTGGCCTGGGAAGTAAGGTCTTAAACTGGTTTGAGTTGTACCTTACAAATAGAACTTATTCGGTCATGATTGGCGACCAGTCCTCCAGCACTGCTCCTTTGATCTCAGGCGTTCCGCAAGGTTCCATTCTTGCTCCTTTGTTATTCTCGTTATATATGTCACCTCTTGCGTCTATTATATCCAGTCATAATGTTTCTTTACATTTTTACGCTGACGACATCCAAATTTATATGCCTTTGGTACCCCCGAATCAGGCTTGCTTGCTGCATTGCAGAACTGTATATGCGATGTTAAAATCTGGCTGGATCAAAATCTCCTTTACTTAAACGAAGATAAAAATGAATATATTGTCATTAGTCCCCACCCAGCTGTGACCATGTCAGATCTAGGCACCTGTGCGCCCCCCATGCTCTAATACGGTGAGGAATTTGGGAGTTATATTTGATACAAATTTTAACTTTGATAGCCAGATTAAGTCTGTGGTAAAAACGAGCTTTTACCAGTTAAGATTGTTAGCGAAGGTAAAATCATTTCTCTCTCGCACTGATTTAGAGAAAGCCTTCGTGACGTCCCGGCTTGATTAGTGTAATGCCCTCTGTGCTGGTCTGTCCCAGTCATCGTTGTCTAGGCTGCAGTTAGTGCAAAATGCAGCCGCCCGTTTGCTCACAGACACTCGTCGGCATGCTCATATTACCCCAATCTTAGCGTCCCTCCATTGGCTACCTGTGAAATGGAGAGTGCAATTTAAGGTCGTGCTCTATGTTTTTAAAGCTTTGCACAGCCTTGCCCCTGCATATCTATTAGACCTTTAAGTCAGCTCTGAAAACATATCTTTTTAAACAAGCTTTTCATGCTTAACTTGTTTTATGGGTTTTCTAGGGTTTTATTTTCTAGTTCTTCTGAGTGGTGTCAGACTGGACAGGAATTACGCTATAGATCAATTAATGTATGTGCCTGTCATATGTTTATTTAGTTGACTCTGATTTTCTTTGATTATATAGGCTCTAATTGCCTGATGTAGCATTTAGTGCTCTCTGAGTTGGTAAGTGCTCTATAAATAAACTTTATTATTATTATTATTATTATTATTGTTATTATTAATCTTCTTTTTCCTTCCTTGTGCAGTTTGATAGCGGTTAGGATTATTTATGCAAACATTCGTAACATTCTAAAGGGAAGGGGGTCAACTCGGTGGTTAATAAAAATGTGGATAAACAGAAATAAGTCAACACATATGATTATCAACAGCACAAACATCTTATAAACTGTGAGGACTGTGGCTCTGGTATGTCTGTGTGGGAGTGTTTGAAAATGCTTGAGAAGCTCCTGATCTAAACCTGGGTAACACACTTCAGCATAAGACAACTTCATATTTTATAATGGCCCTTTTTATACAGAGATCACATCGTCTTTAATGCAACATTTTTTTTTATTTAAGCCCCTTTTACACAGAACTTAAAAAAGCCAGTAAACTGCCTTCCCTGTGCTCATTTTACCAGGAATCCCGGCACTAGAGGCATGATGCTTATTGTGACATCTGACTGCTTTGTTTTTGCTGATGCTGCTCCCTATCTTCATTCCAGTGACGTGCGGTGAGGTTGACAGCTGGTGAGGCACTAACCTACAGTCAGATTTACAAATACAAATTGTCTGTTAACAGACAATGTGTTATGTTTTATATCTCATATCAGCATTCTTCACACAAACATGACCCATATTTAATTAGAAATAATAAAAGTTTATGGTCTTACCTTTACTTGTACATGAAATCCATTTGTCAGCTGGTATGTATTACAAACCCTTTTACCGTTCGAATCCAATATTAAAACAAATGTTTTCAATAAAGAAGATCCTTCTGGACAAAAATGTTTTGATTGAAAGTCCAGATTTTGAGGCAGGCGTACTGTTTGCCTCATCGAGTAACTTTTTTTACTGGGTTTTATGGTTAATCTGCGAGCCTAAACGCGTTACAGAACTACATTTTATACATTATCCAGATTATGGCAAGGCAGAGCATATAATCAGAGTGTTTGAAAGCATTTTATTTGCGATATATAGAGGGACAGCGACACACTATTGGCATCGCATACAGTTTGTGAGGATTTCACGATCCACTGAGAGGCACAGCAAAGTGCTGCCTCATCGTGCATCTCCTCCATGTATTTGAATGGGACATACGGGAATTCTGCTATTCTTTATTGAAAAAAAAACCCTTCAACATCGGATTCGAACGGCAAAAGGGCCTACAACACACACCAGCCGACAAATATTAACATTTATTATATTTTATGGTTAACTTTTTTTTCTTTTCAAGATTGACAGGGGAGGCTCTGCCTCACCTGCCTCCCCTGACCGCACGTCACTGCTTCATTCGCTCTAGTCCTCCTGACCACTGCATGAGAGGCTGACTGCAGTGTGAATTGGAGGAGGGGTGAGGAGGAGCTTATAGAGCCAATAAAGTGATTATAGGTTGCTTCCTTTTAAGAGCTGCGTGACAATTCAGTTCAACAGCAGCTGATTGTGAAAGAAATGTCTTATTTTTGTCTTATCAATTCAACAATGCAACTTGTTTCATTCAGGGCAGCAAACTGGTTTTGATCTTATGCAGAGAAAACAGGAAATCAGAGAGGCTGGAACCATGGCGCGTTTGCTGATTCATTCATTTTCTACCGCTTAGTCCCTGAACGGGGTTATGGGGCC